CCGTTTCCCGCCAACTCTTTCCCGCCTTATTTTCTCCTCTGTATCTATAAAACCCCCTTCAGGCGAAGGTGGATAAGCATTCCAGTGTAGTGTAGTCGAGATGTCCCATTATCCATTCGATCGTAGTTTTCACCCTGGGATGAGCACCACTCTTCTGAGTCTAGTTACCGATTTCAGGATGGACAATAGGATAGTTTCATGGGACGAACTCACCGGTAGTGACACCATAATGAATGAGTTGGCTCACCAATTACGTAGGTCTGGGTGGCCTGAAAGGACCTATGAGGAGGTACGTCAAGAACTTCTTAGGTTGCATGAAAGGTGGAAGAAGGTAGTGGAGCCGAAGAGTGAAACTTTCAGAAGGACTGCAGCAAAGAATACATTTTTATGGACTGAGGAGAGCGAGGACGACGAAGATGTCTTCATGCCGCCGCTTCCGGGTTCTGCATCGTCGAAGGGCAAGAGTTCTGCATCGTCCAAAGGCAAGACTTCTGCATCCTCGAAGGGCAAGAGTTCTGCATCCAGCAAGGGCAAGAGTTCTGCATCCAGCAAGGGCAAGAGTTCTGCATCGACGGAGGGCAAGAGGACCGCATCGTTGAAGGGCAAGAGGGCTGCATCAACAGAGGATGACGATGATGACTTCATGTAGTATGTAAGATGTATTCCAGTTTGTATTGTATTATTGTAGGGCATTATGTTCTATCTGAATTTCATTTTGTAGTATGTAAGATGTATTGCACAAGTTCAGCCGCACCGTTTAATTCAGATGTACTTGTATCTTAATTATCGGTTGTAATCTATTTGGAAATGTAACTGGAATAAGAATGCGAATTAATAGTAAGCATATGCGAATAGTCTGAAACTAACATAGATAATGAGTCATACATAGATAATAAGCATATCACTGCGGGGGACGGCGACGAGTCTGGGTCTTCCTCGGGCGAGGACCGGAAGGCGATAAGCGCTGAGGCGGTGGACGAGGCTCGCGATAACCACGACCATAGTTAACCTCGTCTGTCACGGTCTGTGTCTCCTGCGTCGGTGGTGGTGGTGGAGTGTGAAACACTGTCTGCGAGAAGCCATAAATGTTTGTAGCATGGTCATCATCCTCGCGGTCGCCCTCAAAGTAATCAGCACCACCACTAAGGATGGGTGACTGCTCTGAATGCATGAACGGTTGCGACAGGTTGCCGCCTGCGGTAAAGTAAAAAACTTGTAAAATTGATACAAATGCATGTAGGGTTACAGCAGCGTAGTGAGTAGGGTTACCTAGTTCCATCTGCTGATGCCAGTAAGAGCTCCCTGGCTGTGAAGGAGGTGGCTGATGCCAGTAAGAGCTCCCTGGCTGTGAAGGAGGTGGCTCATTCCAGGAAGAGCTCCCTGGCTGTGAAGGAGGTGGCTCATTCCAGGAAGAGCTCCCTGGCTGTGAAGGAGGTGGCTCATGCCAGGAAGAGCTCCCTGGCTGTGAAGGAGGTGGCTCATGCCAGGAAGAGCTCCCTGGCTGTGAAGGAGGTGGCTCATGCCTGGAAGAGCTCCCTGGCTGTGAAGGATGAGGTTCTGCACGGTGCACAGAAGGTCGTGGTTGTGAACGTTGCACAGAGGGTCGTGGTTCTGAATGCTGTACAGAGGGACGTGGCGGACGATGTGCTGGAGGAGGAAGTGCAACATCCGAAGACCGTCTACACGTAACAGCAGCGTAAATCCCCTGTAGCTTGTCATCAAGACGCCTCAACCATGAGACGCCCTCTCGCGGTGGGATAGTTTCTCCCCTCTGAAAGCGCCGCATTAAAGCGGAAACCTCCTCTCGCGCCTGTACTGTCAAGTCACCCTGTAGATGAAGAGTTAACCAATTATATCCTTGTTGTATGATAGACACCACGAATAGACACCCAAACGAATATGTCCAGATTAACAAAAGACTCAACATATAAGAACCAAGGCATTTACCGCGTGGTGTTTGGTTCCCACAACAGAGGCAGTTGGGTACATATCGCTGGTGAGAGGGGCTTCGATCTGATCAGGAGCAGCTGATGGAACCAAGTAGATCCTTGTTGTATGCCGGTAACGCTGCAGATACAACCCGAACATTTGCCAGTTAAAGGCCCGACCCTCACCCCGGTGCTTTCTATCGATGTTGCCATTAAGCAACGGATACAAAGACATATCTGCAATTCAAACAACAAATCTCAGGCGCAAATAAAAATATAGATCTGACATATTACAAATTAAAACATAGTCCTGACATAGTACGAATTAAAACATAGTCCATGAGGATTTACATATTAAAACAAAGTCCTGACATATTACAAATTAAAACATAGTCTTGACATATTACAAATTAAAACATAGTCCTGACATATTACTTCTTCCTCGTCCGCCCCTTCGGCCTCGACTGCCACGACCACGTCCGCCTCTTCCTCTTGTTGTCGCAGCCGTCGATGTGGAAGCACTCGTCGATGCGGAAGCACCATCTTTGTTCAGGTCGGGACAATATTTCATCCTATGCCCATAAGCCGTGCATAACAAACATTGCCTGGTTGCTCCACCAGCTTCAGACTGGTCCATATCGTTCCGGATGCGACGGGCCTTCCGTCTGCCCCTACTTGTTCGCCGAAGGTCTGGATGCGGGATATATACTCTCTCACCTTCGTTTACCTTGTTGAAATTGCCGACGACTCTAAACCCTGTCATCTCGCCTGTCCAGGTGTTGAGCACTGCCTCTTTTAAATAGTATGGGGACACGAAGGAGATAGCATCCAACTCAATCTGCCCACAGGCAGCCAACACATGAGAGCAAGGTAGGTGCAACAACTTCGGTTTGTTGCATGTACACTCACACGTTGGATAAAATTCCGTTCCAATTTTTACCTCGTGTGTCTTCACCTCATTTCCAGAACCAAAACCATCGGTAGGAAGCTGAACCTCATACCTCCTTTCTTGATTCCCTATAAGTCTGACAGTGTGCTTCTTTGCTTTCTCTATCTTCTTTGCCATGTATTCCATGACACGGCTACAATAAGGTGTGTTCTGATTATCTTCAATATGCTTCTGTGCTAACTCGTGCCTTTCTCTGAAATATCTCAAAGTGCCATGGAATACAGCCTCCACAATAGCTGTGAGTGGCAATGCTCTGTTCCCTCTCAGCACAAAGTTATACACCTCTGCAAGATTGGTTGTCATGTGGCCATACCTAGCTCCATGTGTGTCATGCAGCAAAGACCAATTCACTGGAGGCTCTTTCTCTATCCACTCAGAAAAATTCTTTATTGCCCTTCCCTTCTTTCTCGTAGTATTAGGAGGGTCAATTCCTGGCAAGTCACAAAGACCTACTGGCTCCTCTAGCTCCGCGATGAGTGCTGCTAATTTAACTTGATCTTCTTCCATTTTCTTCCTCGCACGGACCTGCTTCTTAGTAAACTCATCTAGTTTTGACCAAATAAATTTGTATTTGCGCTGCTGGCTCTGCTTGCATAATTTTTTGAACAAGTTCATCAACCGCTTGTTCTTGAACTGTGAGAAAAAATTAGCCCCAAGATGGCGCATGCACCACCGGCTCTGCAAGTCCCTCCAAGGTGTTCGTTCGTCATCTGTTGGATTACGAAGTGTCTTCACGGCCTTCAATATACCAGCATGTCTGTCATGAATGACACACACGTTTGGTCGGTCCTTCACAATGGCAATTTTCACTTGGCGGAAGAACCATACCCAGCTGAGAAAGTTCTCACCCTCCACAAATGCCATGGCAAGTGGGATGATTTGATTGTTCCCGTCCACACCAATAGCAGTCAGGATTTGCCCTCTATACTGACCGGTCAGGAATGTACCATCCACAAACAGAACAGGAGGACAATGCCGGAAAGCTTCGATGCACATACCAAAAGAGAAGAACACTCATTTCAACACCTTGAAATCTGGTATACTCAGCAACCTCATGTGTTGTACGTTCACATAAGTGCCGGGATTCCTCTCCTTCAGTATGCCCAGGAGACGGACAACATTATCATATGAGTCGAAGAACGTCCCAAACCTTTCCTCCATAGCCTTCTGCTTAGCCCTCCAAGCCTTCCCATAAGGAATGACATACTTCCATCTGACCTTCACTGCTGTCTGGATGTGTTTTGCTTCCATATCTTTCTTCTCTACTATCTCAGTATACACGAGTTGCGCAATGAGACTTGAAGTCAGGTTCGGATGCTTCACCAGCAGGTTCTTCCTCACACAATTATGTGGGATGACAATGGTGACAACCCAGTGGATGTCGTACTTCGGCACGTGCCCGTGCACCTTCCCTGGACAACCTTTTTCAACACATTTCACGGTATAGTTTGTTGGACTTGATATGTGTGTCTTAAAAACCCTCTGCGTAGACATAGCCCACTTTATCACCGCATACTTCAATTTTTTCTTTGTATCAAACATAGCCCCTATTTGTACTTGGTTCAGATTATACTGCCATGGAGTCTCATGGCCATCGTTCACCGTAAGGCCGGTGGATATGTCCTGCTCCCATGCAGAAGGAATCGGTACCTCAACTTCATCCTCAGAATTTTCAGAATCCAGTTCCTCCACCAATCCATCCTCGTCCTCTTCCTCCATCACCCTCTGCATTTCATCCCCTTCCTCATCCCCATCAGCAAAACCTGAACCAGCTAATATTATCGACTGGCTGCTCTGCCCAGTATCAGGACCACAAACATTGTGTGGCACGTAGTCTGACTCTTTCTCGGGTTGGCTAGCATCCACATCTTGTGGCTGTGACCCGGATAAAACAATCTCGTTAGCCACTTCACTGCCTTGGCCGGGTTCATACCCCCTGTGGAGTTCTACGGTATTCTCCTCCTTCGGCACAGGTTGCACAAGTGCATATGGGTGGATTCTTCGGTCTCGACAGCGTCTTAACAGGGACAACCAATGCTGGCTCCTATCTACCGGCATCAACTCCCACTTGACATTTTTACAGGATTTGGTCCACAATGCATGAATACTGACAGAACATACTTCAGGATCCAGACCGAAACTAGTTGTCAACCAGTACTTCAACTGTCTAATGTCCAGTCTGTCCGGGTCAGCTAGTGTCATGACGCCATTTTTAAACTCGCTAAGATCAACCCCCAACTCATTATATCGAACATTACCAGCGCCGTAGTAAACATTCAGATTTACTGATTCAGACATTTTCACCTGTCAGACATTGCCATGTTCTCATTAATCACAATATACACTAATATTATCCGCTAGACGGACTATGCGCTAAAATGCCTCCAAAAATATATTAACACTAAAATTCACAATATACACTAATATTATCCGCTACACGAACTATGCGCTAAAATGCCTCCAAAATTATATTAACACTAAAATTCACAACGAACACTAATATTATCCGCTACACGAACTATGCGCTAAAATGCCTCCAAAAATTTATTGACACTAAAATTCACAATATGACTTATATACACTAACTAAACTATACAATTTACATAATATTTGTGACGCCGTGATTATACCTTCGAAGTGTGTGTACGCTTCTTGCACCACCGGAGAACGACAACGCCGCCCCCGACGACCGGAGGTTCAACTCCGGTCAGCCCCTAACCTGCTCCTCCTCCTCACCACCTCCTCCTCTGCTTCTACTAGTCACCACCACCTACTACCCGTCCTCCTCTCCACCATGGCTCCTCCTCCCCACCATGGCTGCTCCTCCCCAAACACATCAAAAACTATCCCATAGCAAAAAATAACACCATAGGCCGGTGGAGATTGCGATGATCTACCGATTCTGTGGGTTGGATTTGCAAATGAGTGGCAAATGGAGGAGATCGGCGCGGGGGGGCGTTTCTACAGAGAAGAACTGAGAGAGAGAAAGGGAAACGAAGAAGAACAGAGCGCTCGCGTCGGCGACCGGTGCTTATCCGCACCTTTTCGGCCGCAGCCTGGCCGAAAAGCTCCACTTCGGTCACCGATGGGCCGAAAACGGCCCAGTTCGGCCTCTCAGCAGCCGAAGCTACTATTTTCGGTCGGGCCCCAGCTGACAGCGTGTTTTCGGCCCAAGCGCGGCCGAAAAGCCTACTTCGGCCATGCCCTGGCCGAAAACCCCCTTTTCGGCCCACCCCTGGCCGACGGGCTACTAGTTTTGCGTTTTTTTCATTCTACACTATAGTTTCCGAAATTGCTACAAAAAAACATGATAGTTTTGAAAAAAATTCGTCGAAGTATCGGTCCCAGAGCATGATGCCGCCGTAGTTGTCCTTCTTCTGCGCCACCGGCGCGACGCCGTAGTAGACGTTCTTGGGGTGTACCCACTGGTGGGACTTGTCGTCCGCCGTGAGCCCGACGTAGAACCGAGTGGCCGGGTACGCCGCCGTCCACTTGTCCCACGAGCCCTCCCACCCAAGGTTCTGGTTGCACCACTTGTCGCTCTCGTAGGTCCTCACGTGGACGCGCTCGAAGATCCCCGTCGCCAGCGCCCGCCCCATGTGCGCCGCCGGCGGGTACCCGCACCGGACCGTCGCCGTCAGGTGCAGCGGCTTCCCCGGCCCCCCGCGGATGTTGTGCTTGGCCAGCTCCAGCGCCAGCACGTCGTAGCGGTCCGCCGGCGTGCCGTGCTCCAGGAAGAGGTCGACGCCGTCGAGCCACGCGTCGCCGAAGGGGCGGGGGACGCCCGGCTTGGACCCGCCGAAGTAGGAGTTCCACAGGTGGTCGAAGAGGTCGAGCGCGGAGCGGTTGGACGGCAGCGAGTAGCCGGTGCCGTAGCCGCCGATGGAGAGGGAGACGGGCACGCCCTTGAACTGGCAGTGCTTGATGTCGGCGCCGACGGAGGAGAGGTCGTGGCCGGAGAGGTCGAGGTGGTACTTGCCGTTGGCGCCGAAGACGTCGAGGAAGGACATGGTGACCATGGTGTACATGCCGGAGTCGCAGGCCTCACGCAGGGACCCCTCCGCCTTGTTCCGTCCCCAGAACACCGTCACCTGGCCGGTCTCCCCCCCCCCCGCCGCCAAGGCCGGCGGGGTCAGGAATAAGGCCGCGGCGACAGAGAGGAGGGCTAGGAGGCAGGCTGGCCTCCGGCTCCGGGCTGCGAGCGGCGCCATTGTTGGTTTCTCCAAGTACTGGCTAGTAGCTTGCCTTGGCTTGTTTGGATGAAGGGTTATTTAGCTCGAAGGGGGCATATATATAGTGGATTTTGGAGGCAGATTGTTAGGACTAGTCTTCGAATTTACTCCATGAACATGAATTCGAGCTACATCTGGTTTGAGAGAAAGAGGGGATCAGGAGGAGGAAGACGCACACACGCCACCCACGCCACAACTGGCCTCCCTGTCCTGCCGTTTTCCTATCTGCCCCCGAATACAGAGAACACACTTGATTATATATCTATGCGGCCTAAAGCCCACTCAGGCCCAGCTAGCCGAGACGGTAGGCGAGGCTCGCGGATGGGCCGAGTCCTTGGATTTGATGCCACCTCCTGCGTGCCCTGTTCCTTGTCACTGACAATCCCCCCTTGATGAGAAACGGCTTGTCCCCAAGCCGGCGCGCGCGGGAACTTTTGCTTGATGGCTTCAAAGTCTTCCCAAGTGGCTAGATCAACTGGATCTCCAGACCACTGAAGGAGCACTTGGACTAGCTTCTTGTCATTGCGATGAATCACACGCTTCTGTAGTATCTTCTCAGGTACTTGCACTGCAGATTCCGGAGAGGGGAGACAAGGAAGAACTTGTTGGGTTGGTTTGAGTACCTTCCGAAGGAGAGAGACATGGAATACCGGATGCGCTTTACTGGTATTTGGAAGGTCCAGGCAGTAGGCAACTTCACCCACTCGTTCCAAGATGGTGTAAGGGCCAAAAAACTTATAAGCCAGCTTATGATTAGCACGCGGGGCTACAGACTTCTGTATGTATGGCTGCAACTTGAGAAAAACTTGATCACCCACCGAAAAACTTCTCTCAGTTCTATGTTTATCAGACTGCGCTTTCATCGTCTGCTGAGCCCGAAGAAGTTGCTGTTTTACTGAAGCAAAAATCACTTGTCTTTGTTCCAACCACTGGGATAGATCAGAGGAAGCGATGGTACAGTCTGGAGCGATGCCAAAATGTCGAGGAGAGTGGCCATAGATAATTTCAAAAGGACTCTTTGCAGTGGCCGAATGCCAGTTGGTATTGTACCAATATTCACAGAGAGAAAGCCATTTAGACCACTTGGAAGGATGAGTACTAACAAAGCAACGGAGGTAGCATTCAATTTGTTGATTGACCCTTTCAGTCTGTCCGTCAGTTTGCGGTGACGAGCTGAACTCATCCTCAGTTGTGTACCTTGAACATGTTGGAACATTTCCTTCCAAAACTGGCTGGTGAAGATACGATCACGATCGGACACTATTGATAATGGCATCCCATGAAGCTTGTATACTGAGTCCAGGAAGGCTTCAGCGACTATCTGTACTGTGAATGGATGGTGAAGTGGTATGAAATGGCCGTATTTGGACAACTTGTCGATCACTACTAAGATGCAGTTATAACGTCCTGATTGAGGCAACCCTTCGATGAAATCCATACTAACCATTTCCCATGGGAGATTAGGCACTGGTAGTGGTTGGAGCAGACCGGAGTATGGTACTCGCTCCAGTTTTGCTTGTTGACAGACAAGACAACACTGGATCACCTGTTTGATGAATGCTTTCATACCAGTCCAACGGAAAAGCTGACGAATACGTTTATATGTAACCGGAAATCCAGAATGCCCCCCCGAGAGGCGAGCTGTGGAATGCATCGACGATTTCGTTCTGTAGCTCACTGTCGGCACCCACCCAAATGCAGCCATCAGTGCATAGCAGACCATTTTTCAATGAAAACTTGTTGTCTGCTGGTGAACCTTCAGATAACTCTTTGAGGCGCTTAAGGGCAACTGCATCATTCTGATAACTCGCAACAATATCCGGAAACCAAGCTGGACAAGCACTGGACACTGCCTGGAGTTCAACTGTAGTGTGTGGTCTGCGAGACAGAGCGTTTGCCGCATTGTTGTCAGATCCCTTGCGATACTGTATGGTGTAACGTAGCCCCATAAGCTTTGTCAGCACCTTTTGCTGCCAAGGGGTGTGCAAACGTTGATCTGATAGGCTAGTTAAGCTGCGCTGATCTGTCTGTATAATGAACTCACTGAATAGCAGATACTGACGCCAATGTTCAACAGCTAAGAGAATGGCCAGAAACTCCTTTTCATAGACTGAGAGTGCTCGATTTCGTGGACCCAAAGCTTTGCTAACATACGCGAGAGGATGGTTGTCTTGCATCAGCACTGCACCAATGCCCACATCACAAGCATCTGTAGCTATCACAAAAGTTTTGTTAAAGTCTGGCAGAGCAAGTACTGGTGCTGTTACCAGAGCTTGTTTGAGGGTACGGAAGGCAGAATCTTCAATGTCAGACCAACGAAACACTGCTCCTTTCTTCAACAGGTTAGTGAGCGAGCGACAAATGATTCCGTAGTGGCGGATAAATTTTCTGTAGTATCCTGCTAGGCCAAGGAAACCACAGACTTCTTTGACATTAGCTGGTGTAGGCCAGGTGTCAATTGCTGTAATCTTGGTGGGATCAGTGGACACACCTGCAGAGCTGATTATGTGACCCAGATATCGAACTTGCCTTTGAGCGAATGCACATTTGGACAATTTGACTTTCCACTGGTGTTTAGCAAGCATTGACAGGACCAACCTCAGATGTTGCAAATGCTCCTTGAAAGTAATGCTGAACACCAAAATGTCATCGAAGAAAACGATAACATACTTATGGTTCCCAGGAGCTAGGGTGTGATTCATGGCAAACTGAAACGTGTTTGGACCTCCAGTCAGGCCGAAAGAAACCACCAAGAACTCGTAGTGACCAAGGTGTGTCTGGAAGGCTGTTTTGTACTCCTCGCCAGGAGCTAATCGTATTTGGTGGTACCCTGACCTCAGATCAAGCTTAGTAAACCACCCAGCCCCTCCCAATTCATCGAGCAGCTCATCGATGACAGGTATAGCAAAATTTCCCTTTAACTGTAATGGCATTGAGGTGACGGTAGTCGATGACTGGTCGCCAGGATTCATCCTTCTTTTTGACCATCAAAAGAGGAGAAGAAAAGGGGCTGTTACTAGGTCTAATGACCCCACTAGCAAGCATGTCCTTGATTTGTCGTTCAAGTTCTGTTTTCAGAGCTGGAGCAATGCGGTAAGGACGCAATGCCACTGGTGTGGCACCGGGTATAAGTGGGATAGTGTGATCATAGGCACGTCTGGGTGGGAGACCAGTAGGAGGTTCAAAAACTTCCTTGAATTGATCCAAAACAGATTGCACTTCAGGAAGAATTGGGAGGTTCTCGGTAGTGAGCAGGGAACAGAAGTGTAGCATAGCTATTTGAGGAAGAGTTACTGCTGAACCCAGAAGAGTGATCTCAGATCCCATATGAGAAAATGATAACCAATGGTTTTCCCAGTCGACTAGCATAGGGCTATGTGCTGACAGCCAATCAAGCCCAATTATGCCATCATAACTACCCAGAGGAAACAATTTGAAATCGCACCTAAACTTGTGTCCATAACAAGACCACATTCCACTCAGTAACTGCTGATGACAGGAAACTGTGGCTCCATTGGCCATTTTAACTGAAACCCTTTGTAATGGAGACAGATCTTGCAGTTTAGAAGCTAGAGAAGTATCCAGAAATGAGTGTGTACTCCCTGAGTCAACAAGAACTATGAGATTTAGGCCTTGCAACTGAACCTTGAGTTGCATTGTTCTGACTGAGACATCATCCTTTCCACCCAGAGCTGCTGCTGAAATTGCTAACATGTGAACCTCATGCTGTGTACTGTAACTGTCTGTTTCTGAATCTTCTGAATTTTGCATAAATTCAATCATCTCTTGTACTATGTGAAGTTGCACTTCTTGTCGACAAACATGATCCTTTCCCCATTTTTCTCCACAGGTAAAGCAGAGACCCTTAGATCTTCGGTAGGAACGCATGGCTCCCCATTTGTCTGCAGAAGAACTAGCAACAGGAGGTCGATGCTCATCTGAGGATCGCTTGGCAGACTGATTCCCACTGGAAACTGGTGGTGGTGGAAGGGGAAGAGCAGAAGATCTTCGCTGAAACGGAGTAGCCACAATTGATGGTGTGGAACCAGACCCCAATTCCTCATGCAACAAAGCAAGCTGGTAAGCAGAATCCAAGGCGACGGGTTGCTGAATGCCTACTGCAAGCCTGACTGATGGTTTCAAACCTTCCATAAACCTTGTCACATAATGGATTGTGTTGGGTGAGCCCTCGTACGCGGATAACTGATCAAATAGTTCCGAGAACCTATCCACATAATCCTCGACCGTACCAGTTTGCTGTATGTTGAAAATTTTCCTTAGAATGGTTTGATGCAAGTTGCGACCAAACCTCGACTGAAGTAAACGGCAGAACTCATCCCATGAGATGTTTGGCACCCTTCTGCGCACTGATTCCAACCACCTCGCTGCTGTTCCCTCGACCAGGCTGTTGCCAGAGAAATCCACTGCCCTGGTGGCGTGCCCCAGAACCTGAAGTAGTCCTCGCAACGCGTCTGCCACAATTTGGGATTCTCCCCATCGAAACGAGGAAGTTCGATTCGAGGGCCGAGGCCAAAAACATCAGAAGCATTCTGTCGGAAATTTTCTATTGAACTGAGCGGTGGCCTCGGGATGAGCTGGTCGTGCTGCGTGCCTCTGACCGGAGGCGGGACATAGATCCTATGTCCGGACCCCCGGTTTTCGATGTCGACGCGGTGCCCATCGGGGCCGGTTGGGCTGCTGCTGGGTGCCCTCGCAGGCGTAGCCGGCGCGCCTCGTGATGGCTCGGACGAATTCGCCGCAGATCGGTCGAGCCCCTGACGCAGCTCGTCGATGTCGACCCCTATCGACAGCTTGACCTCGTCGATGCGGCCTGACAGGCGGTCGAGCTTGGCGTCGATCTGGGCGATTGCTTGTGCCGTCAAGTCTGCTCGGTCGCCGTTGGCCTTGTCGAAATCCGCTCGGAGCAGGTCGTAGATGGCCTTGGTCTCCGGCGAAATTCGGTCCATGGCTGCTGCCCG